TTCCTAAACAAGAAATTTTATACTCAATAAAATCTAGAACTCATCCAAAGGACAAAGCACAAAATCATTCATTTCTCATCTTTACCAGATAGCAAAACAAATGGTATAATCTTCTAAATTCGAAAGACTAAACAAAACCCAATTCATAATTCCTAAAACCCTTATCCAAATACGAGTAAAGGATCAATTCTGCCAATTGGAAATATCCAGAATTGTAATGTAAAAATCAAAACTTTATAAAGTACCTGTTGTTAAGCAGATTCTTGACAGCGACTTTAGTTCCATCAGTTAAAATCCCACTATAAACAATCCCATAACCTCCTTCTCCGATCACATTCTCTTCACACAATCCATTCGTGGCCGCTTCGAGCTCTCTAAGAGTATACCATCTTCCCCAACCAAGATGCGAAACCTCAGGTCCAACATAACCACTACCTGAATACGACGTCGTTTCACTGGGAACCAAATTGACAAACTTTGGTCGTGGTTTAGGGCGAGTGTTTTGTTTTCGATAAAGTTCGCGGCCGTCGACGCCTGCTGTTTGGATAATACCTTCCAACCGAGTACAGCATTGTAGGCAGTAAAAAAAACCATCTCCTCCATCTACAAAGCTGTCGCGCTCGCACATATGGCAAATCATCGTCGTTGATGAAGAAGAATGAGAAGATTGCGGCGACGAAACACTCTTAGGGGCTAGGGCGTTCAGGGTTTACTTTCCCCATCGTCGACTCTAAAGAAGAATATGGGCCTTCGATTCTTTTACTAATAAATGGGCCGTAGGCCCGCCCCTTCTCCACGCCTAGTTTATTATATAAAGTAGGGGATCCGAAAATTTAGGCTAGTTTAATTATTAAGTCATTAGATAGAAGAACTCATTAGGAAAAGTCATATGCTGCGATTAGTTTTCTCTAAATGTTCGAATTACTAAAGACTAAAGATTTATTTTGAGAAGCCTATCCTTTTTTTTTTTGACATCTTTGGATCGACAAAGCCCGATCCATAGCCAATTCCTACTACGCGGGGTAACGCGACTTACTGGAGTCGAACTCCGGTGGAGAAGGTGGAGTCAAATTGACTTAACCACTTGACTAAAGACACATCCCCGAGAACCCTATCTACAATGCTTCCATATAAAATAAACATACTATGTAGTTCGAAAAATGAATATAAACGCATTTACTTGTTACATACTTTAGTGTATAGTTTATTTATTACTCTAATTGAGATAGGTCTGTGTATCTTATGTTTTCTTTTAAACGGAGGAGAGGTTTTATTGCAGTTTGAATCTGATCATGTGATGTTCTCTGTTGTGGTTAACACAAAGATAAAATCACAAAAGGTACATATGTATTTTTTGTACCGGGCTTTCTGTTAAGTAATTGTTGCTATGGAAAGCGAAAGACCAACTTATTCACCAAAGAGCTTATTCGTTTTTCTGATGGCAATGGCTTGGGGTGGACTCTTGCCTTCATTTTTCTCAGATGTGAATCAATAACGCACTCAGGTTCCTATTAATGTCCCCATAACAACTGGTTTTTGTGAAGCAATTTTAGCTTTCTATATGACTATATGGACCGGCGGTTATGCTACAGAAAATTTAAAATGCATTAATGATTCACTAAAATTTCCCATTAATGATTAAGGAGACAAGTCTCTAACTCTCTTCCAATGGCGAAACCAGAATCCCCAACTCCTCTATATTGATATGCACTAGACTAACAAGGCTTTTGCTTTTATCAGGCACCTCTCCCTTATCACTTCAAGAGAGGATTTGTTTTGTTCCCTTCCTATGTGGTGAAGAAAACGCACCCAGTCACGTCAGGACTTTCATTAGTAGTAAACAACCTTTATTTTGCAAAGTTGATGCTTCAATTTTGATTTTTGAAGAAGCAAGAAGCTCAAGGAGGTCATCATCTCTGGTCTTGGTATGAGCTTAAGTTTCACACATGTTAATTCTGTAGGGGCAATCAACAGAGAAAACACAAGGAAACTGAAGCTTGACGATGCATAACTTAAAAGGAAGTTCCAACACAATGATAAAGTAAATAGAATGTTTTTTTCAAGAAATATCATGTGCTCTTTATAAATAACGTGCAATACGAGAAAATAACATGATAAACTAGATATATTATGTTATCACATGTAATTCGAGGAAAAAACGTGTTACAAAGGACACTTACGTAATTACACATGCATTCCGACATGTTACAGACAAGTTACTGTAGCTCATGGTTAGTTTGTATATTCTTTTTGAATCCATGGTTACTTTGTATATATTCCCATAAAAAAAAAAGAAAAAAAAAGAACATGTAGTTAGTTTAGAAGCTAAAAATACTAAAATAATAATTCCAAGATGTTGAAAATAATTTGGATATTAGGTTTGATACGAGAAATTCACGATACAATACTTACTATTTGATACAAATTGAGATGCTGTTAGGACTTTTGTCCATGGATAGTAAAGTGTATACTAATGGTACTATATTTAATTTTATTTATGATTTACTTTTTCCTTCGATTGTCTAAATTTTGGAAATACTATGAGCTTCAACAAAATACAGAGAATCAAAACTCTCATCAACAAATGCTAAAACGGTCCGATATAACATCTCTATCATTTGGATCACATGAATATACTAACTGTGGCCTCTTATCCAACAATTTATCATTTACGCAATTATGAAACAGTTAGGGAATAACCAAGTGGTCTTGGGCTAGTGGTACTTGAGGGAGAAACACCAATACCGTACCCGCAGTTCGATTCCACTTGGCCACTGGGGAATTAAAATTTCGGCATCGCCAGGGACAGGGGACCGACACTGGGGCAGGCCGATAACGTAGGCTGCTACTGACCCGGTGGCTAGTCTGGACTACTTCGGTGGGGCTAGGATACCCCTGTATAATTCAAAAAAAAAAAAAAAAGAAACAGTTAGGGAATATATACATATGGATCCATTTTGGGCCCATACCATTGTATCATGGAAAGTGACGACGACGTTGATCAATCGATCGATATGGCATGTGTGAGTGTGAATATAACTCCGATCATCTTATGTTGAACATAACATCTAGGTTGGTCCACAGTCCACACATCATAGATAACCAAACCATAATTATTATGCGTTGACAAAATTATTAAAGCTAGCTTCTTTTTTTTTTCTTTTTCTTTCATTGCGTTTTTCTTTGGTTCGGTGCGTTTAACCGTATGTATGCGTTGGCGATGTGAGGGATAAGCCTAACAAAAAAGAATATAAATAATAATCATGATTCATGTCACAACAAAAATTGATTTAAACAACAAAAATTGAAATACTAATGGTCGGAAAATTTTCAATGCGTCTCTTCATACATCCTTTATCTTCGGTCTTTTGAACTGTCACTTTCGCTCGTCTCAGCTGCAGCCGCAGAAACTTCAGTCTGTGGCTGGTTATAATCGCGGCTTGCATGCTCCCTCGTGGCTCGTCGTTCCTGCTACAGTATATTCTGTGAGCAAATTAAACAATCCACTTCAAATATTCATTTTGATTACAATACTTACGTCACGATAGAACAAATCTTCAGCTTCAAGCATGTGTATAATATGACCCATTTTAGGTCTCTTATTCGCGTCCGGATCCACACACCGCAGCGCGACGAGCAACACACGTTTAAGAGCTTTTGAAGTTGGTGGTTCGGGTATTTTTGGATCGACTACTTCCTCAGACCTTCGGTTTCCAACCATTGTTTTCAGCCACTCAACCAAATTCACCTAACAAAACGAGACTATCAAGAACTGATAGAAGAAAAAAAAGAACAGTGTTTTGAAATTTGAAAGTGATAGATGAAAGCCGCGTTTATTAAAATAGAATTACCTCTCCTTGAGGTCTACTATAATCGACAGGGTTTCTTCCGGTTATAATCTCCATGATTAATATCCCAAAACTATAGATATCACTCTTTTCTGTCAGCATTCCCGTGCAAGCATACTCAGGTGCAACATATCTACATAACAAACCAATCAAGAAAAAAATAGATATTTGAAATCCTAAAAGATAATCCAACTACGGTATATTTATATGCAAACTAAATAACTTACCCAAAAGTCCCCATTACACGGGTTGTCACGTAACTGCTCTCAGAGAACAACAGCTTAGCAAGTCCGAAATCTGATACCTTAGCATTCCATTGACGATCAAGCAAAATATTACTAGATTTTATGTCTCGATGAACGACTTTCGGTTCAAGACCCTCATGTAGATACGCCAAGCTGCAGGAATATCAACAAACA